ATTCTCAGAATTCAAGGCTCGTTGTTTACACTACTTGAAAGGTTGTGATATAAGGCCATAATTTAGAGTGATTATAAAAATGTCGGATTCCATCGTCCGTTCAGAAATCCATCTTTATATGGGGCACACTGATGAAACATTTGAAGTTTCCAGACGATCTTTCAAATTTCAAGTGCACACCATTACACTTAATTCATGATACATGACATTTTGGTGGCCGAATACAAATTAATTATGTATGTATGTTTTTATGCAAGTTCATTAATATTGCAATATCTCAGTTTGATTGGTCTGATGAATATTAAGCTAAGTATGTTTCCTAATTAACATGCTAATCGGGGATTTAATGAGAATGACGATTATGCTTCTTTAATGCTTAATTTAATCACAGGCAATAGAAATGTCTAATGTCTTTGATTTAATATACTAATTAGGCTCCTTAATTAATATGCTAATATATGACTTTTAATTATTGTGCAAATAACAGTTCTTAATTAATAAGCTAATTATGCATATAATTAGAATGATGAATATCCCCATAATAATAATAGTAGTAATAATAATAAATTATTTTTTTACCCATATTTGTTACACTTACAAATATTTACAAACACTGTTGTCATGACAATTATCATGGGCAAAATAAACCTGAAATAGCTACAGAGCTAATCGAATTAGACCCTGAAATAGCGAAACAAAGAAAAGAAGAAGGAAAAGACATGTCAAATTTTAGTATTACTAATAATTAATATGATAATTATGGATCTCAATTAATATGCAAATTATTGCTTTTAATGATTTTATGATTTTAAATATTATGATGAATATGGGTTATGATTAATATGCTAGCCGATTTTTCATTATAGTGATGAATACAGTTCATAACTATTATGCTGATTATGATTTTTAATTAGTATGACATATACTGTGATTCTTGATTAGGATTATGAATGTGGTTCACGATTAAATTATGCTCCTTAATAAATATGCTACTTATGATTCCTAATTAATGTGCAAATTGTGGTTCTTAATCAATATGCTGATTGTAATCCTTATTCAATATGCTAATTATGATTTTTAATCAATATTTTAATTATGATTCTCAATTATTGCACTAATTATAAGTAATTATTATGCGAACAATGGCTCTTAATAAATAAATAAGTATGATAAATATTCTTATTATGGTTCTTTGAGTAACTTATAATTAATTTTCCAGTCGATAACACTTTCGCATTCATCAAAGAATAATAATTAATATGCAAATTATGGCTCTTTATGAATATGCTAAATTATGATTTTAATTAGTATGATAAATATTATTTATGATTGTTTTGCTAATTATTTTTTAATTGTTATTTTGTTTGTATATGCAGTCGTCGGATGACGATCACAAAAATGGTCCTCGTCGTAAAAAGGACAAAAAACAAGACAAAAAGGAGAAAAACAGAGTGGCCGCCGCCAAAAGTCGAAAACGTAAACGGGACAAAATAGAGTCTCTTTCAGTGGTGAGTAAATATCGGATACATTAGTTTCATACATTCTGCATATCGTATTTACAGTATTTGCTTGTCACCTTGGCCCAGACGTACTCGTAAACCCCAGCATTCATGAAACCGCGGTCCAACCTCTGACCTTTAATAAGTTACTAGGGTTTGGCATGAGGTGAAGGACCAGCATTACGTAGGTCCAGCCTTATCGAACAGTACATCATTTAAGGCGCGCCAGTCGCCTATTGTTGCCAACTTTGAAAAAAAAAGATGACATTAACAATTATCTCTGTGAGGGATGAACCATTAGAAACTCTGGGGCGGTGGGCGGTGGGCGATGGCAGAAAAAACAGTAAAACATTTTTTCTTACTTCGCTCCCTGCGGTTTAAACATGTAGATTTGCTTTTCTGTTATTGAGTCCTGCAGGATTTTTTTCCCACGATTGTTATTTTTGTTTTCCAATTCTGCTTCCTCCTTCCAAGGTTTCTAATGGTTAATCCTAATTTTGTTCGTGTATAAATGGCAAAGGCCGGGATACAAACAAACAAAAATATTTTTTTTTATTGAAAAAACACCCCCAAAATAAACAAGAGGGTGTATGCAAGTCTAGGCCAGCCCCTAAACGCATTTTAACATGTAATTTTTGTTGATCCTGTCGCTGTACATGTTCCTGATTGATTAAGATATTTCGTGATGTGTGAATTATACAAATTGACACGTTGTATTGTATTGTTGACATAAGCGATATTTAAATACATGTATGTGGATTACAAGGTATGTACATTCACATTGCACGACTTGAAAAATACTTATTATCTGGTAAAATGTTTATTATCTCTCCATCAACAGCGAGTACAGACGCTAGAAGAAGAGAATTTCAAACTCAAAGAAAACATGCGGAAGATTGAGAGAGAGAAAAACCAGCTCTCACTGCAGTTAAAAGTACATGAACTAAAATGTCCGTTAAAAATGGGCATATGTCAAGAGAACGGTGAAGGCGTTTGACGATATATATATATATATATATGACGCCACTGTGGTTGCTTGTTTCGTCATACGAGAGTTTACATGGATATTTTTTTTATTTATTTATAAACCATTTGTATTTTGTTCTATGCTCGGACTTTGGTCGCAATCCGTGTTGTTAGCGCCCTCAATGCCGTGAGAGAAATCGTTCTGCACTGAAGTAGAGTATTCTGCCTGCAACCGTTTTGAATTATGAATATTTCAGTAGATACGGTCATTAGAACTAATGCAGGTGACAAAATGTGTATATACAGAAGAAATGCCTTTTCGTGCTCGTGTGGTAATTGTAATTCAGAACCCGAGGCAGACTTTTATGAGAAAATGACGAGAGTTCTGCTTATTGCACAGTCGTAGAATTATATTTCAAAAGTTCGTGTTCTCCTTTCTGTCTTTGTATTTTCTGTGAATTTTTCAAATCATGTTAGACCAAGAAGTTTCCGTTTCGAAACAAACTGGGACACGTCATAATGTGCGAGTTTCTTCTAATTCTCGTGCTTCACTGAAATCTGTCTGTTAGTATAAATGGTTTGAAAATCGAAAGTGAAATTGTAACAGTTGTGTGTGATCCAAACACCTGGGTCTTAGTTGTTGTTGATGATTATTCATTTTTAGTATAGTTTTTAAAAACGCAATTCGATTTGTGTTCGATTTTATCAATGCAACCCGAATGAATAATAGTCAAGATAGAAGCGTCTGAGGTACATGTTTGTTGTTGTATATATGAGTTATTTATTCTCTGGCTGTTGGCCACGTGACCTAACTAGGAAAATCAGGCAATAAATGAACTGCTCAACTTTCAGTCAACGTCATGTGTGCGTTTCTCTGTTTGTGTCTTACAGTTAGCATAGTTCCTCAAACACGGACTTCATGAATCTTATTTCTAGAAAAACATGTGTTACCTTACATCCGACGATATACCATAAACGTATCTCATCTGTAAATCCGTGGTGTAGTTGTTTTTAAACACATAAATCGGTACCAAAAAATTACCATCGATGATTTTTAATTTACGAACAATAGGAAGGCCCCCTCCCAAAGTCTTGCAGTGATTATGAGTTCTTACGGCAGTGGAACTGTTTCGTTACAATATACTGCCCTTATCGGCAATAATTGCATTTTACCTATTTGAATACCGTGACCTCGCCGATGAACGTCGAATCTTCATATCAGGTTCATTTACACTATCATCATTTGCATACAATATATAACTGAGTTTCCAGCGGTCAAGTTCACAGTAGCACCGTGTCGAAAGTGAGAAACTATTGCCTTGTCAGGATGATCAACAGGTGCTAGTTAAGGGTCACGTGACATTAGTGACACATGACCAAGAAAACTTTTTTTCAAAATAGACAGCGAGATTACCAACGTTTGTATTTTTTTGTAGCAAGACTGGGTTGAAACTTGACAGTCAAATGTAGTGTGCCTTCATTTCGGGGTTGAAATTCTCAATGTTATCTTTGGATATTGAAATGTAAAAGCTTGGTTACCGTGCTCAGGGATATTCGTGCGACCGCTTCTAATCAATTTGGAATGTGTTAATTTCTGTATTTTTTTATTTTCTGCAAATGTCGTATCTTTCAAAGGAACAGTGTTAGTATTATGCTAGTGATCTAATGAAACCAACAGATTCATAGAGGGAAAAATAAAAAAAAAAAACGATCATAATCATTGGATCGTCCAACAGGGATATAAATAAGACTAGTTCGAAATATGCCGATTACTGTGGAATTTGCATCCCAGGCATACCCATTCGGTGGATATCGACTGTGCGCGGTTTCAAACCAAGCCGATCTCACCATCGACGCTTCATTAACAAATTAAGTTAAAGCTGTAATTTATAAGTGCGACACGATCGTCATGATATGCATTTATTTTCCGACGTTGTCTGGTTGTGACAGGCACATTCAAATCGTCTTCCTTTACATATTCAGATGTCCACACACAATATCGGAGTGGTTAGTTTCTATGTTAACCTGTGGCAGAAAATAACTTCGCGCGTGAATACAGTTCAATGAATACTTCCATCATTTTTGTGACTTCTGCATCATGCCAAATTGAACTGGGCAATCGCGTAAAGAGAGTGTAAGCAGTGGCAATTAGAATAAAATACTAATTTAAACGAGAATGCAAGGTATTGAGATGACAACATGATGTTTATTTTATTACAAATAAAAAAAAACATTTTCGACGTTATCAATCATTTAAACGATGTCTTGTAATAATGTTTGTAACTAGGAAAAAGATGGATTTTTATTTGTATAATGTTTTATTTCTTCTTTGTAGTGTATAACTATTAAATAGAAAAAAATGTCATTAGCGAATATACATAATGATTAAATTAAAGAGGGGAGTCTATTCAGCCCCCTTTGAATATATTGAGATTCGTCGGTAATCTACGCAATGGTAAATTTCAAGTGGAAAGCATTGGACGATTTCATTTCTGGTGTTACATTTTTGACAAAACGTCAGATATTGTAAACAAATGTAATGCCACACCCCTTATCCCATAATGTGATATCTGTCTTTGAAACTAACAATATTTTGTTTACCAAACCCCCAAACAATCCTTGTCTCAAATCATTAATATCAATACTTTGATTTTCTAAATAAAACTGTTTTCCATTACCGTCATAAATGATTTGTACCAAGGAGTTTCAAACCAAGTTATTCTGACACTTTTTACGTATAAGCGTCGTAACTAACCACACCCCAAGATGTAAAAAATGACACGGTGAAAAACGAATTACTTGTGCCTAATTTACCAATTGAGTAACTTATTAACTGTTGGCAGTACACCAGTGCCAATAAAATCTATATTTTTTTTGTAAAAATCTCAACTGATTATAATTATTATAGCAAAGTTGCACGAAACCCAACATCTGCTGATACCAGACACACTGCAAGGCCACTCTCTGGCAACTTCAACACAATCTGTAGAAAAACGAAACAGAAATTTACAGTAAAATCGTATTCCGTCATCTTGTAAAATACACAAAATAAAGGAAAAGATGTATCTTACATCTTACAATTCGTTAAAATGTTCCTCTCCCACCAGTTGTGCTGTCGCATTGTCAGTATTTCATATAAAAATATTCTATTTATAATACTTCGTAACCTAATGTACGCATAAACATGAATGCTCTTATATTGTTGTTCCATATACCCCCCCCCCCCACCTCTCCCAACTCTCTATTACCAGCTAGGTAAACACTTGAGTACTACTAACCTATTGGTAGCGTATCTGGTTTATACGAACATCGCCACGAACGTGCAGGGTATTAACTTGCTGGTAAGCAATTCGGTGACGATATTCTAACAAATGCCTTCCATTGACGGCCACTTTATAACATTCATTCAGACACAAGATGATAATTTCGAAATCGGCACTAGCTTGAAATGGAAAATAAGGAGCGCTTTTCTCTTCATCTCCCCATGTCTTGTTTTCTCTAGTGTTGCATATAATGGTGTTAGCTGGGAATCGTGGATTGAAGCGGAATGCGACGTCATGACTCTTGTCCTCGTTGTGTCCAATTTGGAGATTTACACCAAACCTACGAGATGAATCAATGTTCAACTATAAGAGCAAGATTTAGCAAATATTTGATAAAATATCAAGAACCAGTATACTGCATTCATACTTATTGATATCGCTTGATAACTGACACAATCAAATTAACATTTAACAGATTTTCCGGATTATTATCTTATACCTGGTGGGTTTGGGAGGCGCAGTTCCGTTTATTATAATCATTCTTCCAGGGAACATACCATTCGGAATTTCTCCAATATAAGGAGTTGACTGAAATGAAATGATATTTTCAAAATATTAATTTAGTAGAACACAAGTTAATTTTGTTTGTTGTTTGAATAATCACTCCTGAAATGCAAACCGTTTCTGATAACTCGGTGCTGTGAATATTCGCAATACTAGTAAATCAGAAGAACCGAATACACTCATGGTATTTGTTGTAATTCATGAACTAAATAAATAAATACTGTAAAACTCGTTGCTATTTTAGGAAATTTGGCTCAATGCTAGTCAAATTAACAAAATCTTAAATTAAGGTAAAGTGCGAACAATCTCACTGTGA